CTCTATTTCAGAAATGTAGTTGTGCAATAATGCAGTATGGCATATACAGAAAGGAAGATTGAATAAGAGTTAGGTGAGAAACTTTATATTGCTATGTTTTGCAATTCTAATGTTATTCAAAATATTTTACTATAGAAAATACTGCGAGAGCTGTAAGTTTTCCATACAGTTAAAAAACCATTAACTTTCCAAGTAGTCATTTTTAAAAAACAATAATCATTTTTAAAATAAATAATTTTATCACCTTTAAAAACTGTTTTTTTTTCATTAATAATAATCACAGTTAACCCAATTGTTTCGCTTCATGAATTCTGAGGAAGTGATTTATCTTGCTACGATGTAACAGTTATTGCAGCAGATATTTCCTTTTTTTTTTTTTGAGGGAGGTTATTTTGTTATAAAGAGAATTATAATAGACAAAATTAATGCATGCAAATTTTTGATAGAAATTAGACAAAATTCAAATATAAAAAAGGATCTAAGCATTTTACACAGAGAATCTGTTTTTTAATCCATAGATAGATATAAATTTCTTACTTTTCATGGCTGCACATACAGCCGTTCAGTCAGAGCCTTTTAAAAAAGCAGTGCACGTCATTTCCTGGATCAGGAGCCCAAGGAGGGAACGGTAAACAGAAACCTCTAAATTTTTTAGTAGAAGTTGAGAAGCCCTAGGCCTGTAGTGATATAATTACATGTTCTCCCCACTAACATGTACAGGGTGCTTGGAAGCAGCTGCTGATACAATACAAGTAAAGGAGATGATGAATAGTGCACAGAAAAGGTACTTAGATACGGTGATGCAATTGGATTATTTTTGGTGTTAAAATATGCTGAGTCTGCACCATCTCTGTTAAGGAAACACACAATCTAGGACAAAGATTTTGACCTTGTTTTTTCCAACACTCCAAACAGATTGGTTTATGTTGTTTTGGTCTTGCGTGATTTAATACTGCATCAACCATTTGTGATCACGTTTGAATTTTCTGTTAAGGGGATCAGTAAAGTGCTTTGAAGACTACACAAACAGCGTAAAACTGGAGTAAATTTGTAATTAGCACAGCCTCTTAAAAAGCTACTCTTCCTTACTGGTTTACATGAAAATTAATTGTGGCATTGAAATCTAGTAGATGGGAGCACAAATCTTAAAAACAGTCCTGCCAAATACCACAAATGCCTTTAGTTCTGCAATGTATGACTAAATTAGCTGATTTAGATGAGCTTCCCATCTTACTCTGGTGTCTTCAGTTGTTAGAGTTTTAAATATTAAGCACAGGGAAGATACTCCACATGTTCTCCTGGATCCTTCCCCTTTAAGGATAATAAGAGTTCTGTGAGGCCCTGAACTGTATTTATTATATTTACATTTACAATATAATCACTTTAATTAAAATAGTCGTTATGTGCAGCACACCAAGTCACCTGATAGAGAAGTCAAAGGTTGTGAATTCAGTTGGTTTGTTATTCCCACTGTGTTGCTTAATCTCTCCTGAGGCAGGATGTTTTTTCTATTAACTCCTGCCAGCCCTAGCTCTGTGATTATGTTCTGAACAGGTAGCAGGGCTGATGTCCTCGGTTTTAAGTCCTAATGAGGCCCGGCGATAACTGGTAATAAATACCTTTAGGCAAACATTTTGTAGCCTTTGTCCTACACAGGAGCTATCCATAATCTTTCTTTGCCTTGGGGGATGGCCATAGGAAGAGGATTACTGGGGTAAAATTTAAACCAGATGAGAATAGCGCAGGGCTACAAGGATGATCAGGAGCCTGGAACATCTGCTCTATGAGGAAAGACTGAAAGAGCTGGGCCTGTTCAACCTGGGGAAGAGAAGGCTGAGAGGGGAATCTAATCAGTGTGTATATAAATATATGATATTTGAATGTTTGAATGGATATTTGAATGTTAATATTTGGTATTAACATTTGGCATGCATATGTATTTACCCAGAGAATATCTGCAAGATGTGATCTGACCAGACAACATATAAGCTATGGGGACATGCAGATGTGAGCTGCCAACCTTGCGTTCAGCTTTATAACCTGAAACTTGGGAGGAGAAGAGCTCCTCAACAGAGGAAGCAGGAGCTGGAAGCGCTGGCTTGATTCAAATTCTTGTTAGTACCTCAGGCATTAGTGATGGTAGGAGAGGTCACTGGATAGAGTATCTGGTTAGTTGCAATGTGTCTGTTCTGGAAGGTAAAAAGGAGTACAGGGAAAAAATATTTCAGTCAGAAATCATCAGTCTTGTAATCAGATAATAATAATTATATGGGTGTACAATTTTCCAAGGCATGTCTAGAAGAAAGGTTGGAAAAATTATTCTTTTTTAGGGCCAGACACCTTCCTTTCAGTCAGCAACTGCTCCTGTGTGGGTTGTGTGGTCTGCAGGAATGAAAGGTCATGTGATGATTTTTCAGAATTCCTTTTAAAGATTTTCATTCTTGATCCAGTAAAATAACCATGATCAATCCTAGCTAGATCCTGAGGGGAAAACAAACTTTTATGTGTAAAGAAAAAAAGGAAGATGGATGGAGGAAGAACATCAGCCTCCCCCGACTTAATAATAATGTCCATTTTATCAGCTATCTTTACTACGACTAATCATTTGCAAAATAGACATAACATCTGTATAACCTGATAAGGTTCAGGATCTGCAGGTTTGGGATGCTGGGTCACAGGATGAAAGGGAAGAGAAGTTGTTGCAGTCACACCGGCCTCTAGATCCCTGCTCGGAACCAGTGGCACCTCCAGGGTGCGGGAGTCTGTCCATGCGATGCCAACCAAGTGCTGGCCCTCAGGTGCTCCATCCAGGAGACACTAATGAGTAAAACGGACAGGACGTGAAAGGGTTCTTGAGCTCTCTCATACAAGTCTGACTCAGACCAAAGGTTTGAAACAGTCATGGACTCTGAGTAGATTAGACTTACCCGTTAAAACACTTGTTGACTTTGCCTATGTAATTTGCCAGATTATAGGTTTGTTTTTAGAGCTGGAGCAACTGTGATAGAAGATCTATTCCTATTCTTCTGTGCGTGACATCAGCTCTATTCCCGAAACGATCTTCTCCAGTCTTTGCTTAACAGGCCTTCACAAAACTGCTTACCACACAAAGTTTTGGTTTTGTTCTTATTTAGCCACCAGGACACGTGTGCTAAATAGCCAAAGCAGTTGCCCGAGGCTCCACTTCCCCTTCTAGCTAATGAGCACAGTGACTTATGGACAGAAGAAACAACATAGCAGAAGAAAAGTTCTTTCCTTCCTGCTGAAGGAGTTACAGAATCACAGGAGTTAAGAGTTAGCTAACAGTGATGACACTTGTTCACTTGAGTCCCATATGCACAAGGTCGTAATAAGTCCCCCACTTGTCTGTCAGAAAAGTCATCACCCACCTTCCTCTTCAATGTTCCTTCTCTGTAAATAGGGAGATGAAGGGCTTGTAAGGGCCACACACTGCTGGAGCAGTATGTCATTCCACAGAGGACGTTAGCACTTCTCATTTAACATGAGTCATTTCTGAAGTCTTTTCTTCTTTCGGCTGAGGTGAGGCTTGACAAATACAGCAAATCTATCAGAAAAGAATACTGAAGTCCCTTGGTTTGACTGCAAGTGCCTTTTATTTCGGTCTTGGAGAAGAGGAAAGAGAGAAAGGTTATAAACTCCGACACACAGCCAGCTGGGGGCTGGGGAATGTTCTTCTTTTTCCATTTAATGACAATCCCTAAATGGGCAATATCACTGTTAATAGTAATGGGAATATCGCCATTAATGGAACTGTGAAGCAGAATATTGGAGATTCTAGTTAGAGGCAATGTTTAATTTCTTTTTTTTTTCAGACATTAGAAACTTAAAAGTTTGAAATAAAATGTATTTTCTGACCAGAAAATATTAGCAAAAAAGTGAAGCTTTCCTCCCATTTTTAAATAATCTTTTCCTCCTATGCTCCAAAAAAAAAAGTTTCTTTCAGAATTGTTTTATTTTACACGGAGGTTAGGGTGATTTCTGTGACCAGCGGCTCCTCCAACACTAGTGCTTGTGCTACCTTATGTCACATGGATCTTTAAAAAACAAATGTGGGGCGACCTT